GTAAGTTGTAGGTCTCTTTTGATTAGCAAAAACTATCTTCTGGCAATGATTTGTTCACTGCTAGAGTACTTTCTTGAAGTTTACTTTTTCTCTGGGTTGAAAGAACAGTACTGGTGGATTAGTGACTTTGGACTCGTAATGGTTGTAATTGGGGAAATCATACGGAAGATGGCAATTTTAACAGCTGGTCAGGCCTTCACTCATCTCATTAAGACGTACCACGATGAGGAGCATCACCAATTGGTTACTCACGGTGTCTATAGATTTGTTCGTCATCCGGGATATTGTGGGTTTTTCATTTGGTCAATAGGCACTCAGATAATGCTCTGTAACCCAATATCAACAATTGCATTTGCCATTATTGTTTGGAACTTCTTTGCAAAACGGATACCTGCCGGATATCGGAGATGGAGGCGATTTTTTGGGTCAGAATATGATGAATATGCCTCTCAGGTTCCTTCTGGGATTCCATTTGTGGAGTAGTAAGAATCTATGAAATTTTTAGAGTGTGTCATCAAGAAAGCGCTAAGGCTGTTTATGCAAAGACGTTAGTCTGAAGCTTTGTCAAAGCTGATTCAATTCATGGGCTGGATGGACTGGATTATTCTTGAAGAACCAAACATTTTAGATGGTTTGGTTACTTGTTATGTTCCTGTTGGAGATCTCATTGGAAATCAATCAGTCTTCTTGTGATATACTAAACTCGGTATGTGTACCTTCCATAGATGTGACTGTTGAGTCTTGATCCCAAGCCATTACGCACAAAGTTGCAAGATTTGCAATCATCACTAGTAATATTTATGCGTTTTTGTCGCATGACTTTTTCATTGACATGAAATAACGGATGCCCTTTCTTATCGGCCTTTGTTTCTTTGTATATTACTGGGCTCTATATGCTTAAGCAGAAAGTAGAAAAGTTCTTCATTCGTGCTGCTGGATGACATATTATTGTCCTTGGATTATCACAATAAATGGTTACATAGTATTCTGTTATCTTGTGCATTGATATGTTGTCAGAATAAGTAATGAACCATGCATAAGGCTATATATATATACACTTATATGTTTATGAGTGGAGTGGACCTCCAATAGGAAAGGGTTAAAGCCATAGGCTTGAGACCAATCCAAGCCAATCTTATATGTTGTGCTTTGATTATGAATGCATTGCGGTGAAAGCTTTTGGGAATTTTATTGTGATTCAATAGATAGCAAAACATTCCATTTCAATTTAGATAATATATATCTATCTATACTATTATAAAGGGAAAGCGAGAATTGGTGTTGATGTCTGTCTTTTTGTTTCAAAACATTTACAACAATCATTAAATCAGGTGAGAATTTCAAGGTATAAAAATCTCGAGTCATAATTCAACGATTGTGAGTGTTTTGAATAGGGGATTGAGGAATTTGAGATAGAGGATTTGTTTTACCCCAGTTTCTCTTGATAATAATGCAATGGCATATGTGTGTGTGTGTGGGCGTGTAATTTGTGTTATTGCTGAGTGGGCTGTAATGAAAAATGGTTTGAAAATTGAATCATGGTGATTAGAGTCAGTGCTGGAAAATGGCTGGAGAAGAGAGAACAAACTGACTATAGAAGAGAATTAATCTATTTAGATTTTGTTAACAAGTGTTCTTAAGACACTTATTAAGGATGAATTAAATTATCTTAACCAATCTCACTATTATTTTCAATCAGTTGGGTCAATATCAGTGTAATTTTTATTTCTCAACCCAAAACAAATTGTACCTTGTGAAAATTTGCTGAAAACTATAGTTTCAATCGATCTCAAGCAATCGGTTTGATTTGATTCAATTCGATTACATCAATTTTTAATGGATAGTAAAATTCATTATCAAAGCTATAATTTGATTGAATCTGTCAAAAAAATTCAATGTTAATTGGTAGCTAAATACATTTGCCAAATTTTATTTTTTCTCACATGATGATGATTCACAAAATGACTAGCAAATCTTCTCTCTCCAATCTTCACCATTGAAACAACATTTGTCAAAAAATAAAATTTTTGTACTATAACTAGCCAAAAAATGGCTTTAACATTGCCAATTTTGCAATGACCATTGGAGTAACAACCCAACGGTCAAAAATAGATACACTACTCTAATAATAACTTGTTATTTTGGTACAATCATATTTCACATCTTCATCAACCAAATTATTGGTCCAATTAAGTATCAAGATTTTTTTTAATATGGATAAATTATGATTATCAATGTAATTTTTTATTCAATTTCTGTAATTATAATTTTTGATATTGTTACGTTTTTAAAATTTGTAGAATTTTCTATAGTTTTAGAATTTCTAATTGTGAGTTTTAATTTGTAAAAGTTTCGAACTTCAGTAGAAGTAGTTAGATTTTTGACAACAAATATAATATAACCGAGAGTAACTTTGTCAAACTTTCAACCAAATTTAGCACAAATTTGACTTCGCCATTGAAGTTGCCCAACCCTTAGCATTCTAACTGAGCTCTCAAACACTAACAATCAACCTCTAAGACCATATATATGCAAGGGGAATTACCTTCCATTTTCATCCTATCATATACTTCGAAAATACAAAAAAAAAAAAAAATATTCTACTAAAACAAACAAACAAACAAACAAACCATTAAATTTACTATTTCGATCTCTCGTAGCCAATCTGCCATGACATAAAAGGGACAATACATGAAAAACACACATCTGGGAATATATATTTTGTATGAACCCAACAAAACCAAGCTGCTCCATTTTGTTCTAATGGCTTCCCTAAATTGATTTAGGGTAAAATATTCAATTTGCAGAGGGATGAGCAATTATCTATTGAATGACTCTATTCCTTCGTTCCTTTTTCTTTTTTGTCAACGTGGAACAATTTGTTAATTTGTTTAGTAAAATTAGTGTACTACTTAAAGAGTCATCGTTACTCCATTAGGTCAAACTCTTGACTTTTTCTCACTGCATTCTAAGATGCAACTACATGCCAACTTACCACAAAAACCTTGGTGAATGACTCCGTTCCTTCACCTGGGCCAAAACTTCTTTTTTATTTTATTTTATTTTTCTTGCTTTTAAAATCTTAATATTTAAAATAGATCTACTTAAATTAAATAATAGGAATAACTCAACTATCAAATTAGTTTGTAACCGAGTTTGCAAAATAAGAAAATTAAAAAGAAGGGTTCTATTGTACAACCTTACTTTGAAGACAATTCTCTCCAAATTTTTTATACAATGGATCAAAAGAGGTTGCCAATTCTCCAGCCATAAAAAGAAGGGGAAAAGAAAAGGAAAAAAAAAAAGGCATTCTGTCCACCAATTTCACATTTATAAGATGTCCCAAATCTCTTAAATTGAATTGAAAAATTATCCTATTAGCCATGAGGACTCATTCCAACATTGCATTTTCTTTCTTCTATCTAATATGACTTTAGTGGGACTTCTATTTCAACAAAAAATGAGATTAGTCATTCCATTCTCACTTCATGCCATTCTTGTACACCAAATATAGCCTAAAGTATCAAATCTTAATTTCTCAAACGTAAGATTTCTCATTAATGTGAATGTCATCAATACTACACAGCCAACTTCAATTATAATACAACAAACAAAACACACACACAAAAATAAACCAGGAGACACTGGTCACCTTGATGAACAGAGACACAATAAACCCTAGCTGCAACAATATATATGTTTCAGAAGCAGACAAAAGTCTGAATGGTTCTCAAACCAAATGTAATTTTCGACAGATTAAAATAAGAAGGTGTTCAACAAATAGTCTATATCACACCTTTTTCAGGTTTTTTAAGCACCCTCGAAAACTGTCTGCTAGAAAGCACAAATCAAGGAGAAGAGTTGAAAAGCAATCAACTGACTCTTCTAACATGGAAAACACAAAATTAATTCCTTGTATCTTCATGCTGACACTTGAGAATTTCCTGCATTCACCTTTGATTTGGATTGGTTCTTGAAACCTAACATCTTGTTTAAGGAATTAATGTATGCTCGGACACTCGAGACAACAATATCCATTCCTGCCCCAGTTCCACTGTCGCCAAAAGAAAGAGAAAATAAATCATATGATTCAAAGTAGCAAAATTCTATACCGCATCCACCCCCCAGTTATGACCTTTGTGTCTTTGGTTATGACCTATTGTGTTGTTAATTATAACTCATTCTGATATTAGTTATGATATTATTTTGGTTATGATTCAAGAGTTCATTGTCATACATTATGTGTTGTTTAGTTATAACTCATTTTTTTCTAGTTACGACTCCCATAATATTGAGTTATACCATTTGTGATAATTAAACTCATAAATGACATAACTTGCATACTCTTTAAAGTATATCTATATGTAAGTATTGTGAACTACATGATGTAATACCCATTTTTCTATCAATAACATTTTTTTTTGATAAATCATTTTTCTATAAATAACATATTTTAAAAGTATACAGTTTTTCTTTTTCTTTGGTAAAGAAGAGAAGGAAAGGGAATAGGGTAAGGAATCCTACATTCGCAACGTTAAGACTAAAACCTAGGCTTCACGCCAAGTAAGGGAACACCTCAACCACGAGGCTAACCCCTTGGTCTTAAAAAGTATACTGTTACATGTTTAAGTGAGTTTTAGAAATGTCAATGACAAAATTATTTTAAGGCAGTAGATTGTCAGATTCATGTCGGACACATCCAAATGTGTCATTAAATTTTTTTTTTAGATCCAGACATGCTTCGGACACTACATGTCTATCACTTACACACATGAAATACATTACAAGTTTGAATAAAATAACTTAGATGATAAAATGTTAAAAAATATATAATAGATTTATGCCTATTAAATCCTCCTTTAAACTTTAAGAATTAGTGTTAATGTTGTACTTTTTTTTTATTATTTTGAATGCAATAATAATCATATATATTACATATAATATATATATTACATATAATATATATATATATATAAAATCATATATTTTGTGCGTCTCTCAAGTGTCGTGTCCTATATTTTTTGAAAATTGACATGTCGGCATGTCTGTGCCCGTGCTTCTTAGCATGTGTGTAATTCAAGCAAAGGGAATTTGGAGGGAAAACAAAGAGAAACCAGTTTAGAAGAAAAGAAGATTCAAGCGCTTGTCACACCTAAATGTACGATGGACAGTTTCTCCAGTAGCATTAGTTGATGTGTGGTTGTTCTCCCCACGAATTAAAACTCTGGTAGTAGCTATGGCATCAATGCCTTCCGTTACAGAATTCATGGAGTACTCAAGAAGTGTTACAGGTTCCTGCATACATGGAAAAGGAGGAGTCATTTCAAATAGTTTCCCATGCTGAATGAATCGTTTGGTATGACCACAGTTAAATGGATGTCCAAAGTTGAGATAAATGTCTAACAACAAAAGAAGAGATACACAACTCAAAGAGCAAGTATTGAGTTTCATGCCGTGTACAGTTTAAATGTCACTACTGCTATATCTTGATGGAAAAGGGCTTCTCATAACAAAGCCCATATTGTGAGATTATGAGAAGCCAATATTGTGAGATCATCTCGTTTCAAAATAGAGAACATTAAAAAGACTGATAATACCCCAGAGCTTCCATTAAAATCTATAATTGAAAAAGGGTATCACTCATATTTTATAGTAAAAGTAGTTTTAAAATAAGTTTATGATAAATATCACATAGTGAGTCCTTTCTTCACTTCACCTAGACTACACTCTTCGTCAAGAAATTTATATTAAATTCTCCGAACATATACCATAGTTTTTCATGATAATTCTATTCTAAAAAAAAATAAAATTACGAACTTATTTAGCAGGCCAAACAGATACAAAGGATCAAGGCTACAAAACTGGCTACATTGACAATAGCAGACTAGAAGTTCTCTTGTTTTGCATACATATGATTAGGAAGTTATTTGTTGATTAGGATAATGATTCTGTGATATGCTAATTGAAGATTTAAATGAACAGCAGATATATATTTAAATTCCCATGCCTAAGAACAAAAAAGAGAAAGGAAAAAACAAACTAAAAAACAAACACAGCTTTCAATCAAAAAATGGTATCTATCCACTATTTTTATATTATTATGCCTCTAAAGGATATTGTAATCACCTGATAATCAGCAGTTCAATGAAAAAAATTTGGCCAAACAAGAATCTTGTTAATTTTTTTAGTACATTCTAAAATGCATTGCTTCTTTTGACTGCATTGTGATTAAGTGAATGTAATTCTACTTAAATCATTTCATCATACATGAACATATAATATGTTTCCATCCCTTCTTACTCGGCTTGAATGGACCATAAGGTCTACTAAAAATAATTTCCCCTATATGAAGTTCTGTTACATGTTTCCTTAAATGTGAATTGAAGTTGCATGAAGTGCATAGCTTAATGCCCCTTTCTTAAGGACATATTGGTTGGTTTCACCACAAACAAATCACTTCTTTGTCCAACTCTAGAACTATACCATGATGTAAAACCTGTCATCCCAATCTAATCAAGGGCTGACAGTTTTTAGCTTGGTATAAGAATATGGAAGACTTTGTTGGAGATAATATTGTATTGTCAAAGATATCAGAATATATGGAGACCCCATGATTTGTTCTCATTCTATATATATGGTGTATCATGTAAACAAGAGTATAAAGTTGAGTGAATGAAAGATGTAGCCCCCTAGGGCTTTGTGTGTGTGTGGATTTAGGCCAATATTGGCCGAACCACATTAAGCCTTCGTGTTATTTCTTTTCATTTTCCTGTCTCTATTTTCTCTCCATATTCAACTTTATTGCCTTATTACAAAATTAAACTTAGTACCAGAGTCAACCAAACCCTAGGCTTGTTTTTCTCTAGAATGCTTTCTTACTCCACCTTTTTTTGTTATCAAAGTGTCTTTCTCTCTTCCTTAAGTTGACTAATAGTTTGTTGAAGTGGTAAGCAAACATTGTGTTTTTTACTTATTTCGAGGCTACCAGTGTGTTTGATAGCATTGTTATGTGACATACTGAGTTTTTCGGCTACTTCTCTACCCTTTTAGAATCCTTGTGCTGACGTGGTAAGCACATATTTGGTTCTTCTTTGTTTTTGGGCCACCGGTATGTTTGGTAGCATTCTTTGTGGGACGCCGTTTTTTCGGCCTTTCTGTTTGTGGTGATTTGTCGTTGCTTCGGTCTTGTTGCTTTCTCTCTCTCGGTTGGTTTCTCTTGCTGCCATCGTAACTAATTCCATGCACGTTTCTTTGTTGCAAGATGTTGATTTCTTACCTATGTTCTTTGAAGTTGTCATTGAAGAGAGTGATTACAATTGTTGTTATCTTTCGACAACTTCATTGTAGTTGTTTGTAATGATCATCACATTTTCGAGTTCAAGTTGGACACTTCACTTTAACCATTCCGTCTTCCAACTTGAGAGGGAGTGTTGGAGATAATATTATATTGTCAAAGATATTAGAAGATATCATAATATATTATCTCCAACAGACTTGTGAAATATAAATATTGATATATCATGAAATGTAATCAAACTAAAATTAACTCATTAAAGAAGTATCACCTAATGAAAAAATGGGGGGAAAAAAAGACTAATGAATTGAGCATGCAAACCAATGACTAATAATAGTGTAATGAAGGAAGGCATTGTTCTCATTAAGGGTAATGCACAGGAAGAGGAAGGCTAAAATCATTGTGGGTTAAGAAAGCAAAGGAAGACATGATAGTGTGTTGTTTGGTTGAAGTTATGAACTATTGAGCCGAATGGCAAAACAAGATTCATCTAGCTGATTTCAAATTATCGGTATGAGGCTTTGTTGAGTAATAATTCAAACTAAAATTGCGTGTATGCTCTTTTTCATTCCTAAACTAACTGTTTTGTAGACTTTGGTTCTAGTTTTTGATAAATAAGTCCTTTGGTTCTGGTTTTTGAAAAACAAGTCCTCAAAGCCATAAATTTTGATTGTTGATAACGAATAGTTAAATCATTATCAACAATAGCCATTGGTAACTGGCTTGCTCATTGATAGTGATTTTGGAGTTGAGTTATTTTTTCAATGAGAAATTGAATAATAGTGTGATTTATATGCTTTAGTGAAACCAGAAGACCAGATAGTTGATGTATTAACTGAAAGTCCGGGTGGCAAGGTGTTTCATCATATTGTGTGCAAGTTGAGCATGAGAGATATCTATGCACTAACTTGATGGGGAGTGTTAAGTTGCGTTGAGGGAATTTTTTGTATTTTTAATTTATCTTCCTTTTAATATAAATGTATTGAGGTAAGAGAGGAAAACCCTAATTTTTAGAGTGCCTCTCTTGCAGATTATTTCTCTCGCTCGTGTCTCTTTCTTTTCTTCTTGGCACTTTTTCTTCTTCATACAATTCTAACTATTATCAAGCCTCATAGGAATATCGTGGGAGAAGAAAATACAAGTTTCTGCGGCAAACCTTCACAATGAGATCAACAGCTTTGTATGCTGAATCGACTGGACCTGTTCCATTCGCACATGCAATATGCTCTTCCCCCTCAGCATCAATGAGTCTAACAGTTGCCATAGGGAGACCAAGAGTTCCACATGTAACCTATTTGGCAAGTATTCAAATTAATTGTTAAGAGTCCCAACTTAATTGAATAATGAACAACGAGGTTGAAACTTAGAAGTAGAGTCTATACGTACTTGAACATCTCCAAGCTTCCAAACAACTTGTGGCTGGAAAACTACATCTGACACCAGTGCTATCAGATCATCATCAGTAGTAATCTGGACCACAACAAAAAACATAAACAGAACAAAAAATTTAATAACAATACTAATAATAATAAGAGACCCGAGTAAAGTGAGGGCTGAGGGAGTGGTTTAGGTTATTTATTTTATGCAACAAATCCAAAAGTTTTAGGTTATTACACCTTTAGCTAGTGAATACTGATTTACATTGACACAAAAGGCAACATGACAAAGACCATGCAACTCAATAAGGGAATTCATGCAACCTTGCGAGCACCCTCTTTATTGATTCTTAAATTGAGGCTAAGAAAACTGAGTATATCATTCCATTTCCAACATAAACCAAAGCACCCAAAATGATTAGCAAAGAATTTACTGCACTTTCACAAGAAGTAGAACCACAATACATACTTCTTGTGAAGGTGCAGTAAATTCTTTGCTAATCATTTTGGGTGCTTTTGTTTATGTTGGAAATGGAATGATATACTAAGTTTTCTTAGCCTCAATTTAACCAAATGTCCATGTATTGTGGTTTGACGGCTAGAAGAACAATTTTGCCAATATTTGCTTTGGTTTTCTTCCATCATCTACTCAAGAAACTCGAAATTAGTTATGAAAGCAAAGAGAGATAGCATCCTTATTTCTATGTTCCCCCGCTTATCAGGAAAAATCATGGTATGAATTGAAAAAACAGAAGAGTTTTGTGGGTAATTCTATTCGGACACTGGAAAATCTTAGTACACGCCATTTGTCTCGTTCAAATATAAACTTCGAACAAAAATCAAATGTTCAAACATAAATTTCCAAACAAAAATGAATTATTCAGTACATTCTGTTCGTTTTTTGTTCGGAAGTTTATATCCAAACAATATAAATTGTATGTACTGAGATTTTTTGTGTTAATAGAATTTCCCCAGTTTTGCATCCAGTCAGAGACTTTAATTAATTCAATAATGCCCTTTTTTTTAGCACTTAGTTTTTCAAAAATATCAGCTTCAACATTGTGAAGTATAAATTAATCCCCTCTACCTTTTTCATTTCAGCTACAGCTTTGAAACGCCAGAAAAGATCATCAAATTCCTTACCATCAACATTGTAACCAAGCTGAAAAGCCAGTAAATCAGGACTATTATTGCATGACATCAGGAAGTAAAGTTTAAACAATTCTCAACAAAAAAAAAAAAAAAAAAGAAAAAGAAAAAATTGCACTCTACCTCTGAAAGGCGAGATTTCAAAGCATGACGTCCACTGTACCCAAAAAAATTTCACAAAAAATGTTATAATGTCACTCAAGAAAACTTTAACACTCCGTTTGGATCGAGAGATGAGAAAAGAAATGAAATTGTTGTAGTTCCTCACTTAGGTGAGAAGAAAAAAAATGATTGTAATTTATGACCTTCTTGTTTGGATGAAGAATGATTAAAAGAGGATAGATATGTCTTTTAATTATTTTTTTATTTTATTATTATTTTTTTTTTGTATACAGTAATTTTGGTTTGTCACGAAATCTCACCACTTTTGGAGAAAAAACAAAACTTAAGTTATGAGGGGGTCGTCTTTATCACCATTTCTCTTCCTTTCTCACCATTTCTCACCATATTGATCATCCAAACAAGTGACGAGAAACCTCATTCTCTCCTGTTTTCTTCTCTCACCAAACCTTTCCATTCAAACAAAGTGTTATTGAAATCATCTACAAAGGGAGAAAGAGAGGATTCGATCCACCAGCATCCATCATAGTAAGACCATATGAATATTTAATACTCTTAGATATAAATAGATCAGACAGAATATCCACCATCATTGCATCTAGCGTTTTGACAAGCACAACACAGTGACAAAAAAAAATTAAGGTTAAAAGAAGGGGAAAAAAAAAGAAAAAGAAAAAAAAAGATGATGCCATACTGATAGTGCTAATTGTGAGGCTCAAGACTGCAGCACCATTTATAACCCTTAAAAGGGAGCAGCCAAATCCCTACCAAAGCAATTTAGGTGCAGGCACACACGAGAGACAGAGAGAGAGAGAGAGAGAGAGAGTGCAATGGACCAGCCTAGGGCACTTAATAAAGTTCATGTACACATAAGTGTTATATTGCATTTTTTATTTATTATCATTGAATGATATATTCTTATATATGACATATAATAAATATATAAAATTATATTTCATGCATGTCCCCCACATGTCGTGTCTTGCATTTTTTCAAAATTGCCGTATCAACATGCTCGTGTCGTGTCGCGTGTCCGTATCCATACTTCTTTGGTCACACCTTTTCTTGTATGCTCATTTCTTTGCCATACTAAATGGCAGAGCACAGTACAAAAGTGGTTAGGTTTTTGAAAATTTCTATGAATATTCACACAAACTCACAACTCGAAGGTGTTAACCGAGTGGCAAGTTGAACCATGATAAGTGCCTCAAGAAGCACAGGTCATGAGTTTAAATCCCGTGAAGCCCTTGATCCCCTTTTGGGGACCACCCCAGGACCTGTGCCCGGTAATTGCCCACTATGTGTGGAATGGGAGAGCAGTCATGACAAAGCCCCCGATTCCTCATTACCAAAATATATGCACAATTCTCCTCTTTTAGGTAACACTTTTAAATAACATACTTACCTAACATACTGGTATCAGAGCAGCTTGATTGCAGATATGCTACTTTGATCGTGGATCAGCCATCTCTTAGCTAATTGACTGGCATCTAGATGGTGTTAGATATATATATTCACACACCTCCCATCTTTTAGGCAACTCTTTTAAACAGCTTGACTAACAAAATGGTAGCAGAGCAATTTGATTGCCATAGATTGGGCCGCATCAAGATGGTACAAGAGTTTTTCCCAAGAATGCATCTTTCAAGATTGAGGTCAATCACATCGCCCATTATTTCGAGACGGAGGCCAATCACATCGCTCATCATTAAAGCACATAAATCAAAAACTCCAGTAATTGGATTCAGTTTGTAATTTTTTAATGAGAAAACTACAAATATCCAAGTACAGCTGAAATCACTATGTTATATATAGGTTTTGGAAAGTTATCTAAACTTATCTTTTAGTAAGTCTTTCAATAATGTTTCCATTTATGGTTTGTTTGGGATCAACCAATATATATTGCTTGGGATTCAGTCAGTCCAACTTCAACAAATCTTTTGTTTATTACTACTATGAATATTCACCGAGCCCTTGGAAACAAGCACAAGGCTTGGACAGGTTGATCCATTCCTTATTTAGACATGTTGATTCATCTCACTACCCTTGATTGAAGATTCTCAAGTTATCCTTTTTGATCAATGCTAGAAATTTAGCAGAAATTGGCTTTCTCTAAGCAACCAGCAGGTTTTATTTGTGTTACAATCCTTTGATCACAAATCGTCTGCCTGTTAGCCACTCAGATTACATAACTTTGGTTTTGTCAAGGTCTCACTGAAAAAGTGTTTTGTTGCACATGTATATCTTCAAATACAATTTGACCTCAGATACAAACACTCAATCCCATTTTCTGGAGATCTAGTCCACAGTACATCTACTACAATAGTGCAAGATGCAGGATGATATCTTAGCATGTGCAAACATGCATTTTCTATGCTTGGTTGAAGGAGGAAAACATCAAGAAGATACATTTAATATATTGGTAGTAAGAAGTAAAAAGAACTAAACAAAACAAACAAAAACAAGTTGAAAGACCCAAAAAAGGAAAAGAAAAAGGAAACAGAAATCTGCCAAGTAGAAATTTGGTACAGCATACCTGAGTTTTCCAAGGACAATGCCAGACTCATTAGCCCGGTGAAGCCCAATATCTTCAGGAGATATAATCTCATATGTATTTTTATGTTTAAGCATTCCATCCTACAAAACATATAGTATAAGTCAATTTTAAAAGTCTAAATCAATTTTAGAGATGAGAACAAACATGGGTTTTTGAAAAAGTACGAAGACATTTTCCTTTCATAAATCTGAACTCAAAAAAAACAAAAGCTATATACAGAAACCTAAAGTTGAAAGTAAGAAAAAGATCATAAAAGTAAAGATTAAAGAAAACAAATGCACGAGTGTTTCCCAAAGATGTGTGTTGTTGTTTGTGTTGCATTGTTTTTCTTTTTGTTTTACTTTTTTGGCTTGGAGAAGACATTTTTGGTTTTCCTTCCGTTTTTCCATCTCCTCAAAGATATACCTAATGTATCTTGGTCAAAATAATTAATATAATGTAAAATGGAAGAGTCACGATTCACAACAATTGAGATTTATGGGACAGAGAAAGAGGGAAAACAGAATCAAGAGGCATGATGATTACTGCAAAATAAAGAAAGATGTAACCTAAAGATCGAAGGAGATTGTGAACTGCAATAATTGCCTACCAGGATTTCTAATGCCAGGAACCCTTGATTAGTAAGGTGGTAATGCCATAAGCAACTTCCAGTAGTAATTTCTTTTGGCAAACTTCTCCAACCTTTTGGGGGCACCAAACGGGTATATGTTACCACCCCTGACTACTGATTGATGGCATCTGTGAGCATATATATTACACAATGCCCCCATATTGAACGTCACTAACCACCACAAGTTCTCTAGAAATATTATCCACTCAATCCACTGAAACCACCATCAGGTCACTATAAGACGAGATTTCTGAAAGCAGATCCTGGATCTTTGTCAGCAAGTCACCACTGTGGCCACAAATGAACTAGGTTTCCACGAGCAGCATAAAATTGATCCATCTGTGGGATTCAGGCTTCTTTATAAATAAACAACTGATCCTGAGCCTAGATTCCATGATTGTCAACAAATGAATTTGCTTAAACAGGCCATAGCTTGACCCATCCAGCTTGAATTGCCATCCAATCACAATGCTATAAATTTATTGAACTTTTTATGGTCAATTATAACATATACAAACTTACAGTACAGCTTTTGACAGAGCAAACTCATTAGAATATAACAAAAGTAGAATGTCTTACATTGCAGAAAAAGAAGAGGGAAGAGCCAAAGCTCTTCCAAATCAACACTATTATCAACCTATCTACAAGTGTCCTCAGTTTTTTTCCTAAGAGGCCAAAATTATAGGCCTTACAAAACCCCAGTAACAAGTTATTACTGTATAAAATTATCTTCAACAGAAATAGTAAATGGAATAAATATCAATGTAACTAAATTATATGTGTATACAATATAAAACCACGTAGACCAATATAAATAATTGATCTCTCCTTTCTTGCTAGAGAGGCAAAACTGGTGTCGTCTCATTCATTATCCAACCAAAAACAAAAACAAAACTGAATTGCAATTAGTCATAGTGAATCACAATAAATAACAATGAATTGCATATCAAATCAAACGATTCACTCAATTTTCAATTCAATAGCACAATTTGAATCGTTTTAGTTGAAGCTTGTATAGAATCCTTTGTAGCGCGAGCTGTTCCTTGTGGAATCATGAAAAAGGAGGTCTAGCCTAGGGTGGATCACGAGTTGGCCCTTCTTATGCAGTGAGGTATTGAGTTCAACCTTGAACCAAGAAAAAGGAAGTCAAGTAAATTGGCCCATTGAGCTAGTAAGTTGGTTTCGGACTTCTTCGAACTGACTCCTTTGTTGAGCTAAAGTTTCTCAAGTGTGTAGCGAGACAAGGGGGGATCAACACTTGTGCTTGTATTTTGAGCTTCGGTTTTTTCTGGCACAACACAAATTTAGTACACAAGTTTTGTTATCCTTTGAATTGGGGTTCATCAAAATTTTGTGAGCCGAAAAATTGTGGGGTGAGCTCAAAGAGTGAGTTGTTGTAAGCCCGAAAGTTGGGTGATTTTGAGTTGTCATGCTACCGAGTTGTGAGCTTAAGTCTTTTGAGTTGCATGTAGTTGTTGTGAGCTCGAAAGTTGGTTGATTTTGAGCTGTCAAGCTATCAAGTTGTGAGATGAAGTCTTACGAGCTACAATTAGCAATACTTTCACGAATTTGATTAAAGGCGAGCTTTGGTCTCTTAACTACACTTGGGCTTTCTTGAAACTTCTTTGTTGATCTTTTCGGAGGATCAAGTAAAGGGTTGGGGGTGGTTGCACAAGTTGAAAACTTGGTCTTTGATTTTTCCTGAATTGAAGAGAATCTGTGAGCTGAAGGTGTACCGAGCCATGAGTGACGCAAGCTGCAAAAATTCACCATTTGTCAAAATATTCTAAGAGTTTTGTCAAAATGCACTTGAAATTTTGGGCTTTGATTTTTATATGTTAAAACAAATATGTGAGCTAAAGGTATCGCAAGCCAAGAGTGTCGCAAGCTGGGGTGATTGCGGCTTTTTTCATCAAGCTATAACTCCTTCGTTGAGCTAATATCTTTTGGTGAGTTTCTACATTTCAAACTTTTTTGTTATTGCTCCATACTTTTACTGTTTCATAATTTAATGCTCAGTTGGGCACAACTTGTTTGCTTCTTGCTTGAGCCAGAGATTTATCCATAAAGGTGTAGCGAGCTAGCGGGGTTCATTTGTTGTTGGCTGTATTTCAAAACCCTTTCAGTGAGTTTCTTTTAATTGAACAAGCTCTTGCCTCCCTTGAATTGCAACACCCTCTATTTGTTTGGAAGTAAATTGTGTAGGTAGGCATTGCACTTGCCTTCAAGCCTAGAGCTTCATACTTGTAAGCTTAGTTGGGTTGGACAGTGAGTAACCCTTAGATAACTTCTTTTCGTTTGAAGTTTCCATGTCTTTGTCTACATTCCTTTGGCAGAGTCAAGTATTGACTTGGAATTTTGAATGCCTGATGTAGGTAGATTTGTAAAACACTTGGAGATGGCAAAAGTGAAAATGGGTGCTAACTTGGCCCCAACAAATGTACCTAGTGATTCACAAGTGACGCTCGCAGGTGCTTCAAAAAGGAGCAGATCAAATAGAAAGTGTCAGTACAAAGCCAAAAAGGACGAAATGAAGCCTCTTGATGTGCCGGGGTTGGGGTTGGGCACCTTTCTTTGGCCATTATGATAAATTTTGGAGAAAAATTAGATCTATTTGATGAGGCTGCGACGAGTTCGACCGAAGTTTTGTTGGGCGGTGTTAAGTCCGACAAGGGAATGGAAGCCCCTATTCAACCAGGCTCTATTGTGCTCATTTATTTGGAGTTGGGGAGCTAACCGTTTTATGTCCCTGCTTTCAAATACTACATCGGTGTGAAGGATGATTTCCATATTTGAACTAAAGTTGTATTTCGTCATCTCCCTTATCACAAGCTTTTAGAATCCGCAATTATTGCTTTTGTCATTTTGGGGTGGTCACAAGTCACTGTTTAGGTGAGTGCCCGACTGGTTTAGACTTTATGCTTTCTAGGTAGAGCTTGAGTTCCCACACTTTTGTAGCTCCATGGGGGGAGGCGGGCCAACTTTGGAGGATGTCACCGTCTTGACTGGTTTGAAACATATTGGGAAGGCTAACCCTACTTATTACCACTTTTGTAGCTCCATGAGGGGAGGTGAGCCAACTTTGGAGGATGTCACCGTCTTGACTGGTTTGAAACATATTAGGTAGGCTAACCCTACTTATTACCACTTTTGTAGCTCCATGGGGGGAGGCGAGCCAACTTTGGAGGATGTCACCGTCTTGACTGGTTTGAAACATATTAGGTAGGCTAACCCTACTTATTACCACTTTTGTAGCTCCATGGGGGGAGGCGAGCCAACTTTGGAGGATGTCACCGTCTTGACTGGTTTGAAACATATTAGGTAGGCTAACCCTACTTATTACCACTTTTGTAGCTCCATGGGGGGAGGCGAGCCAACTTTGGAGGATGTCACCGTCTTGACTGGTTTGAAACATATTAGGTAGGCTAACCCTACTTATTACCACTTTTGTAGCTCCATGGGGGGAGGCGAGCCAACTTTGGAGGATGTCACCGTCTTGACTGGTTTGAAACATATTAGGTAGGCTAACCCTACTTATTACCACTTTTGTAGCTCCATGGGGGGAGGCGAGCCAACTTTGGAGGATGTCACCGTCTTGACTGGTTTGAAACATATTAGGTAGGCTAACCCTACTTATTACCACTTTTGTAGCTCCATGGGGGGAGGCGAGCCAACTTTGGAGGATGTCACCGTCTTGACTGGTTTGAAACATATTAGGTAGGCTAACCCTACTTATTACCACTTTTGTAGCTCCATGGGGGGAGGCGAGCCAACTTTGGAGGATGTCACCGTCTTGACTGGTTTGAAACATATTAGGTAGGCTAACCCTACTTATTACCACTTTTGTAGCTCCATGGGGGGAGGCGAGCCAACTTTGGAGGATGTCACCGTCTTGACTGGTTTGAAACATATTAGGTAGGCTAACCCTACTTATTACCACTTTTGTAGCTCCATGGGGGGAGGCGAGCCAACTTTGGAGGATGTCACCGTCTTGACTGGTTTGAAACATATTAGGTAGGCTAACCCTACTTATTACCACTTTTGTAGCTCCATGGGGGGAGGCGAGCCAACTTTGGAGGATGTCACCGTCTTGACTGGTTTGAAACATATTAGGTAGGCTAACCCTACTTATTACCACTTTTGTAGCTCCATGGGGGGAGGCGAGCCAACTTTGGAGGATGTCACCGTCTTGACTGGTTTGAAACATATTAGGTAGGCTAACCCTACTTATTACCACTTTTGTAGCTCCATGGGGGGAGGCGAGCCAACTTTGGAGGATGTCACCGTCTTGACTGGTTTGAAACATATTAGGTAGGCTAACCCTACTTATTACCACTTTTGTAGCTCCATGGGGGGAGGCGAGCCAACTTTGGAGGATGTCACCGTCTTGACTGGTTTGAAACATATTAGGTAGGCTAACCCTACTTATTACCACTTTTGTAGCTCCATGGGGGGAGGCGAGCCAACTTTGGAGGATGTCACCGTCTTGACTGGTTTGAAACATATTAGGTAGGCTAACCCTACTTATTACCACTTTTGTAGCTCCATGGGGGGAGGCGAGCCAACTTTGGAGGATGTCACCGTCTTGACTGGTTTGAAACATATTAGGTAGGCTAACCCTACTTATTACCACTTTTGTAGCTCCATGGGGGGAGGCGAGCCAACTTTGGAGGATGTCACCGTCTTGACTGGTTTGAAACATATTAGGTAGGCTAACCCTACTTATTACCACTTTTGTAGCTCCATGGGGGGAGGCGAGCCAACTTTGGAGGATGTCACCGTCTTGACTGGTTTGAAACATATTAGGTAGGCTAACCCTACTTATTACCACTTTTGTAGCTCCATGGGGGGAGGCGAGCCAACTTTGGAGGATGTCACCGTCTTGACTGGTTTGAAACATATTAGGTAGGCTAACCCTACTTATTACCACTTTTGTAGCTCCATGGGGGGAGGCGAGCCAACTTTGGAGGATGTCACCGTCTTGACTGGTTTGAAACATATTAGGTAGGCTAACCCTACTTATTACCACTTTTGTAGCTCCATGGGGGGAGGCGAGCCAACTTTGGAGGATGTCACCGTCTTGACTGGTTTGAAACATATTAGGTAGGCTAACCCTACTTATTACCACTTTTGTAG